ACGATTTCTGGTATTTATTGTGAAGTTACGACGATCGAAAGTCGACGAGGAAGTCTTCGATATCTGTTAGGAGTTTCCATTCTTAATCGTCAAACAGCGATATAGAAAGCCGAAACGATCGAAATCCTGTGCTCAAACTCTACGGAATCAATCTAACTGCACTTTGGTTGTCCAGGATACATTTATAACTGAACGAACAGGGTTAGAATAACAACGAGTCATGCAACAGGGCTTCTAGCGTCGCGTGTACCGCAGGACCGTTCCGTTAAGCAAAGAAACCGGCGAAATATAGCTTCTGGCGGAAAAATCGCGCAGCTATCTGCTCCGTTGGTCAATATTTGTCGTGCACCAACGTCGATACTGGCTCAAGGCAGTTTCGATGCAAGGTAGACACATCCGGGAACAACGTTTTCCCTCTCGCTTTGCACGCGAACCAAATATTTCCGAATCGATGCTGAACGAAGAGATTATAATTACTAGATCGCGGATATTTACGCAAACTCGGATCTTTCTGATCCCATCTACAAAAATGCAACCTAAACAGAGATTTATTTTACCCATTGAACATCACGATAACTATACTTTACTATACTTTTAATATTTTATATTTTATCGTTTCATATTTTCGCGTATGATATGCGTTCTATGCATCTTTGAATATTTTATCTTTCCTATTTACTATATTTGTCGATCATATAATTATAACGCAGTTACTTGGATCTTACTTTTTCTTAATTTCGACTCGTCGTCGTCATCGATACACCATTCGCTTAACCATTCGATCGTGTGCACTTGGCTCGTCTGAATCCTCGCCGGATCGCACGATCAACACCACAATGAAAATTCCATCGCATCGTAAACACTTTCGCAGCTCTAAACCTTCCATATTGATGAATTTTAAAAAACGGTGCTAATTCTAAGAAAATACGACCACTTTCGTAATTCTAGACGTTTTGTTGCAATACTTCTCATCGATAAAGATTCTATAAAAGATATTTGTTTTCTTACAACGAGTATCGCTTCCGCAATTGCGCAATTCTAATCTAAGATGATATTATCACTTTCGTACCTATAAACGTTTAATCGCGATGCCCTTTGTCGATACAATTTTAAAGAAGCACAGAAAAAGTTTTACAATCGCGAAAAAATGGCAAAAGTTCTAAGAGAATGACAAACGTTTACGAAGGACGCAAAGATACGTTCCTTGGAACGGAAGCCAGCTATTCGACAGATCGAAATAAAAAAAAGAGGGAGGAAATGGAGAAAGAGAGGAAGAAATGCTAATCACTGGAATAGAAAATGAATTCGTAGGATCGTTGAACGCGGCAACGCGAAACGAGATAAATTTTATTTGGCGGATTCCTTCTGGCAAACACCCGTTACTATTTCCTTCTAACTGTTCATCTCGATCCGTCTGTATTCTTTCGATCGGCGCTGCTTTCGCCGACATCCGAAGAAAACTGGCGTTATTAATATTAATTATTTGCGTTTATCTATCGCCACTCGAACGGTACTTTATCGACGTCGATTAATCGAAGGATGAATGTGTCGTCTCGATTATCCACCACGCGAATAGTAATAATTCATTACCGTTTGTTTTTGATGTGAAAATCTTTTTATCCGTAGGCCGTTCCTCTTATGTAGTTAGCAACAGAATGACAGATTATGGGCATTAACAACGTATCTTATTTATTTATCGAATTTACAGGCCGCGAAAAAGGATTTGACTTACGTATTATAAATAAATACATTTCAAACGAAAATACACAAATTTATTTCAGTTTATTGCCGACTAACAGTAGGTAGTCGTTCATCTACCTTCAGGGAAATTGCTGCAAGCGTGCAGGTCTAGCTTGAATGCAACTGAAATTCGAATAACATCGTAGATTATCGAGCTTACACGAATTTGTCGGCAATTTTGGTTGTCACGTTGACGAACAGCTTCGACGCTGTCAGCTGACGTTCCATAAACAACAGATTTTAAATACCATTATAACTAACAATTGGAACTAGCGTCAGAAAATAAGCTGCAACTCGATAACGACGTCATCCGTTTATACTTTTGTTTTTTATTTTTATTTCACCGAATCATCCCCTGCCGTACTTTCCACGCGTTCTGGCTCGATCTGCAAGCTCAGAAGTCTTTGTCCCTTTTTCGAGACTCGCACAACGTTCCAGAAAATCATTTTGCCCGTGCTTTTACTTTCATTTACGTTCGACGCTGTTCCTGCTCCACCTTTTTATCGAAAACCTGGAATCGTCCGTCGGACGACCTTCCTTTTGCTCCATCAGTCCATTCTATCCATTTTCCATCCACCCTTACTTTTTCATATTCCGCTTTAACTTCTCTATCATTTTTCCCCGCTTCTCTCTCAACTTCTAATCTTACTCCGTATTTCTCTCTCAGCTTTCGTCAGATCGTGGTTATTACGGGAATTAATACGTATGCGATAATACGTATTTAATTTATACAACGATGAACTGCATATTTAATTTCGATGTATTTTAAATTTCTATATGTGTAATCTGTTGATTCCGTAAGAGGACGATAAATAATCCTTTAGTCATTACTTTACACATGTTACGATGTTTTACGATTTAACGATAATTTATACATATTCGTAATATTCGCGTTTTATTGATACGGCGTATAGATACTTTTAGGCTGGTTAACGTTATGGAAAATTATAATAACTTCTTTAACAGCCGACATGACAATATCAAGAACAACGTTCCTATATTCTTCTAATTTGTTTGATAGAAATCTTTGGAGGAGTAAAGATACGAAAGGAAAGAATTTGACGTAATTCTAATTATTAAGATATTATAAATTTAAATTAAACGTGGTCGATTACACGTAGTGACTGCTGCAGATATTAATTAATCCAAGAATTCACGATCGATCTGTCAGATATAATACACGTAAAATATTTTTATTTATTTTTTTGTTTTCATCGTAAATAGAAGGTGGAAGGAAAAATTAAAGCGGTCCTCTTTTTACGAATATTAAAATATTACTTCCGGTTAAAACGCTATGAGCTGTACAAATATTTTTCAACTTTCGTTAAGTGGAATTAATTACATCTGTTACCATTAATGACGAATGTTAACGAAGTCTATTACGTCAAAACATTATCTCATAGTGGTATATTTTCCCTTAATGTGTACATCTTCGTCTTCGTAGTGTTTGGATAGCTGGTGACTCTAATTATCGCGGTAACGCGTATACGCGTAACGTTTAATTTCGCGTGCGCTTATTACGCCCTCGAGTTAATAAGCAGGGAAACAGTGGCAGGATTATAGTTATGAAAAATCTCTTCTTCGCTCTTCTTTATACGAGTGTCTGCTTGTGAAATTTTAATAAACCCGACTGATTTTTCGATCGATGAATCTTAACTTTCCCACCTGTTATAACCTTAACAGGTTATTTACTAATTACGTGCCTACGTAATCGTGATTCTATGGTGGAATTGTGCGAAATCTGCAATTCATGAGGCGCCTCAAGTAGATTTAGAAGTGCGACGGAATTAGCCGTTGAATTTATTTAACTGCTGTTATTACGAGATTAAAATAGAACCAGTTTGACGCGTCTCTTGAGATCGTGGTCGAGTTCGTTACGGTACTTTTGCGAATTTTTTAGAGTATTTAAAAGAAGATATCAATTTATGGGATATTAATTCTGTGATACACTGTGTCGTATAAAGTTAATACTTTTCCTTGCTATTTCGAGCAAACGTAAGAGAACGTTTTATAATGGCACAATGTACTACGCGTTAAAATACCGTTTAATAGTCTGAATAATACAAATAAGTGGACAAACTAAAGTAGGACGGTTCACTCGGTGCCTTAAACTTGACTTCAAAGCTGAAACAAAGTATAACTAAAACATCATATAACTTAGTTTTAACAGTGTGCACCTGATCCAATGTATATAAGAAAACCTACTCTACATATACAAATTTCGTTCAGTTCATCGACGCCGATCGATTTTCAGCCGGCTGTGGCGCAAGAATTGTTAAAACGCGCGATATTCGACAATTTAGTCAGCTGCGCCGATTATGTGCTTCGTCACTTTAAATAATAAACCAATTCCTTCTAACTTCTCAGGGAGAACGAGAAAATAGAGTCGTTTGGTTTTGAATTTTAAAAAAGTTATTCCTGCGTTTGAGAGTGTTTGGTCGCTTACGCGAATAATGTGTGCCATGCAGAGATTCAAAGTAACAGGTATTTTTAGCGTTTTTGGGAATAAGGTCAATGAAAAAGAGTTAATTTTTATTGAAATGGAAGCTAGTTATCGATAAATGTCAACAAATTTTAATTTTTAATTGTTTCGGTTTTTTTGGCTACCAGTAAACATTTATCGACCGCTCGAATTTCATTTTGGCCACCGATACTTATTATCGATAGCGAAAAATTTGTTTGGTTACGACATCGGCGACAATATTTTTTCTGCCTGTATTCGACCATCGTCAATCGTTATATACGTTTTTTACACTCGATAATGCTTATCGGCAATCAGAATAAAATTCGGATCATCGATAATAATCGCTGATATTAAAAAAAAATCCAATCGCTTATATCGATAAATTTCCATCATCGATAATGATATCGATAATGAAATAAATTTGTAATTTCTTATAACGCTTATCCGTCGTGAAAATCTTTCGATCGATCAAACCTATTAATTCTTATATCGTAACTTTGAAAATTCGTCTCCTAAGAATTACGATATCTGACGAAGAAGAGACGAAGAAGGTCGGACGATTGCTGCGTTAGTCTATCCGAAACTCTATCTATACAGCACCAAGTCGAAATGACTCACCCTATATGACGTACGTTCCCTGCGGGTATGTTCCCATCTGTTGCCAATGTCCATGGGGTCCCGCAGGCATCTCCCACCCCGTAGCCACGTAAGTCGACCGATCGTTCCCTCCCTCTTTTCGTTTCCCCGCTGTTCCCGCGCGACGACCCTCCAACGGCCCCTATTCAAAGTCTTCGTCCGGCGTCTGTCGGCAGTTAGTCGCGGCACTTCGATCGTGAAACGCGTGTCTCTGCTTCGTTCCTAATTTCTCGTCAGCCACAGTGTCGTTAAACATCCCTCGTCGTCAACCCTGCGGTTAACGCTGCTCAAGCTATTTTTATTTTTTATTCCTTGTATCAAGGTCTCGAGTGTTGATCGTGTTCGACTAAACAGTTTGGAGCATCGAAAAACTGTGCAACAGGTTTATTTCCAGTTGTTTCGCATCTTGTTGTATTTAATCGTGCTTTCTGGAGAATTGGTTGGAAGTTTTTTCGGGGCGGGGCAGGGAAAAATTATTTATTTTGTTCGTAAAATCGACCAAAGTTTTTCCAAGAAAGTGAATTTCTATCGCGCGATCGACTGTGCGGAATTTCGTCGATTCTTTTTGGCGAAGACGAATTGTTCTTGAGAGAAGATTACCACGAAGATTCTCGAGTTGTCAAGCTCTGCATCGAATATAGCGATCCAAGATCCTGGAATTACGTTCTAATCGAGAGTCTAAAATCCTGACAGCTTATCGTTTTACAAGTTTAACGAGATTTTTACTAGCATTGCGCTGAAATAAACATCGAACCAAAAGTTTGAGCAAGAGAGAGATACTTGGATCAAATTTTCGGTCGAATTATTCGGAAAATAAAATTCGAACCGAGGAATCTAAAATTCCGAAGCTGCAATACCGTCCCGATATTTAGAATTCTTGGAAGCTAAATCTCTAGAAATTTCCTCGCAGAATAAAGATCTGTCGAATCTGGAAAACTCGAAAGAATCTTCAAAGAAATCTGGAACTCTGCAATTTTTGGCACACGAAAATTAGAAACTAAACGTTTGAGAAGAAAATTTTTAGACGAGCGGACAATTCGCGGGCTGCGGCCGAAACCCTGGTTTTTACAAGTTGGCGAAATTTCACAGAGTTTTGAAACGGAGGAAGAACGTATTGGAAGGCGAGGGGAAAAAGTTGGAAGAATTCGAAGGAGAATTGGAAGAAACGGTTAGGAAAAAAGAAAAATCGGCGAGGTTGTCTCGAAGGCCAGCTACCTGGCACAGATAATCGGAGGAGAAGAAAGTTTCGTCTGGGTGCTGTATCCGGTTAAAGACGTCGCCCACCTTCTTCGATCGTGTGCTCATCTTCGATCAATCTCGTAATTCCTCTTTCATCGTTCGGTTTCTTTCCTCGTGGGGAATTTCTGTGAAAGGAGAAAAAAGAGGAAAGCGAAGAGAGAGGTTTGGAAGCAGGAATGCCGGCCTGTTAATGATCTTCGCGCGCTTCTTCGCCGTGGAAACGGAAGGAATGAGAGGCACCGCGGGTGAAGTTCCACGGTGCCGATTGAATGGAGCTACTTCCAAGTGGTTTTGACCGTTTCTCGTGTTGGATGACTCGTCTCTCTCTCGTGAGTAGAATAAATATCGTTGCAATCGAATATTCGATTTCAATTTTCCCAGCTTTACTTGCGAAGCTCTTTAGAAAGAGCGCGACGCTTATTTGAACGAATAATTTCTAGGGAATTATTTCAAACAGCAAATCATATAGATAACACGGTCGAACGAATGTTACGTTATCTATTTACGAGTAAAAATATTTTAAACTAGTAGTCTAGAACGGAAAAAGGCGAAATTTATTTGAAATAATTTCCAAATAAACGATGTATGATAAACAATATGTTCCAATTGATGTTATGTTTTCCGTTTGATTAAATTTAATTGAAGAAGACCGAAACGAATAACCTGGAACAGAGCAGGGCGAAATTTATTTCCAATAACCATCTCTACGTAAATATTTTAAATAACTCGTCAACGTTACCGTATGATGTAATGTATTCCAAATTGATGTTATGTTTTTCTTTTGATCAAAAACATTTAAAACCAGGAGAATAATAAATCGTGAAACAAATTGTTTCGTTGAACATTTTCTTTCGAAATAATGTTTAAAAAAAGTAGCGAACTTCGACAGATAGTTACGAGTTACTCCAGACCTTTTTTCTTAGCTCTGTTCCGATCGCGTCGATCATGTCACTCCTCGTATATGCTTCTCTTGATATTGTTATTATATGGATATTAAATATATCCATAACCGTGTCTATCTTGAGTGAAATTCGCGTTGATTTCGCGACAGTTCTCGCATCCGTGATTTACTTGACCCAAATTAACATCGATGCCCGCCTAATTTCGTCCTGATCAGCTGTCAAATTATTAGCGAGAATCGTTCGAGGATTAAAGAAACGTTAACCGTAACAAACGACCAACGCCAATATTATGCTTGAAAGACGATAATTCTCTAGGCAAATAATTTGTCAGACCGGTTTTTCGGCGAAAGTAGGTACTGATAATCGAATATAAAACTTAAGAATCGATTTGTGATTCGATCGATTTGTATCTTTGCTCGTTGTATGCAAATCTTGTTGCAGCTTATTCAAAAGTTTACTCAAGCAGGATAGAAGAGAATTGTTTGGTCGTTTAAGAACCTCTTAACCTTGTCGTTGTATTACGGTAATACGCAAATTATCACGTATACGTCACTATGATTCATTGTCCGGTACAGAGAATTAGTAAATTAGAATGGTACTTTCGATTTCTGCCAACAGTCGCAGAATCGATTTATTCTTCGTTCTAAAATCAACCTCTGGATCTTCGATATTTTACGAAGTAACGTTTCTAACAAATTTTCAAACATGATCTTCCTTTAGCTGGTTATCGTTTTATTCCTTTTAAGTCCTCGTTATTTTGATCTCATTAGAACGTGTTACCGATCCTTTCAAAACCAACTTTCAACTCGTTTCACATTGTTCGCGAAACGTTTGTTTTTTCCAAGAAAACATCGTTTCCTTTTATTGCAGAAATTACCTTTCGTTCTTTAAATATCCAGTGGTTTTTTATTCAAAATAGAACGATCGAAAAATTGTACGAATTAATGTTAAAATTCTTAGCGTCGTATCTTCTTAATGCGTTTCATTTTTATTTCAACCAAGCAATTTTCTAATTCCAATCTCACCCGTTCCCCGACTTTCTCAACATTTACGCCATTTTTTCATCAAAAATATTCGCCACGCCTCGCCTTTCGATATCTCGCGAAGAAAATGCCAGAGGTGTGTGCGTGAACCAAAGGAAGAAACAGAGAAAGAGGGAAAGAAATCAGGGAACGCGATAGAGAAGAATCGAATCGATTGTTTCGATTCAGCCTTTCAGAAGCTTAACGGTTAGCACGATTGGCGAGAAGACGGAATTGCATCGGACTTACGTAATTATAACGCGATATCGCGTGGTGCAAGCTTTTCGATACGGACGGTTTCACGGTTAAAAGCAATTGTCCCCTAGAAAACTACCGTTAAAGTGATCGTGACCTCGATCGAGCCTCTATAGATTCTGTATAGATCCGCTTCTGGATCGTCTATATACGCTTGAACGACCGGACCGACGACTTTTTACGAAATCGCTGAAACCCCTTATCGATCTAAAACTTGACTCGCAATCGGAAAATTCGTTCCCATTCTTTTTCAATTCCTCGTCCGATTTCGTTCTTACGATCGAAAATTTGAGAACGATCGTTATCGATGTTTGCTTTTTTCGAAAGGACGGCCCTACCGGACAAGCGTATTTGGTCGTAAGATAGTTTCGAGAAAAATCAGGCATCTCTGTTCTTTAGAAATAAAATCTACCAACTAATTACCTAGTCCTCTGAGAGTCAGATCAATTCCTACGAATAGTGAACGAATAGAGGAAAGATTTTTAATATTTGCTTGGTTATACGGTTGTTAGAGATTTTTGTGATAGAATTTCTTATCGCGTTAACGAAAATAATTGGAGATCTTACCATACTTATCTATCACCATTACCAATCGCAATCGAAATTTTTAAAATCATGTATTTTGTACTGCTTATCTTTCCATGTTCTTCTATCCATCGGTACACGTGTATTTACGTAAGTTTTTATTCGATTCAAGCATTATAAGTTTTAATAATTCCCGATGAAAATCCCTGGAACCGACGTTTAAAAACCTCGTAAAAACGAAACTAAAAATATTTCTGCACCTTAGGTACATAATATTACGTAGTAGCTACATAGGTGTATATGTATGTAAAGTGATTTAATATCATTCAACAATTTCATGCTTCTCATCACGCCCCCTGATCTTTAATTAATTTGCTTTAATCTTGATAGTAGAACCATACTCGACCATAATCAGGCTTATTACGTTTCCTGTTGTGCTCCGATTTGAAATCTTTTTCGTCTTGTTATTCCATCCACGTCTTTAACGCAGGTTTCAACATTTTCCTGCTTCTCTATGTATATTTATAATATTCGTTCATTATTTGTTAACGAGTCAGGCCACAAAGTGCCTATAGACTACATTTTAGTAGCAGCTACACCATCATATTTATTATGAAATTTATTATATAAGCATGATAATAATCAGTAATCGATCATGATGATTCTATCATCGATAAAACAGATCGAAAGTATCGGCTGGATACGAGCAAACAATCGGCAGAAAGTTATTGTACACGCGAAAATAAATAAAAGATGTGGAACAAAACTGTCCCGTTTAAAGGTTCGTTTTAAGAAAATTTCAATACGTTTACTTAAGAGTTGCACTGGTACACGCGTACTCGTTACATTTTCATATTTCATTTTGTCAGAAACAAAGTATCGTATGAAAGAATCTTGGTCCATTTTTTGTTTGCCTATTCTTAGATAAGAAAGGAAGTAGTAGATAAGAAGAAAGGAAACGATTAAGGAGAGATGATTTACCGTGGATCCGTGTAATCTCGAAGTAGCATTTCTCGTCGATTAATTTCGTGGCCATGATCGTTCATGCTGTTATTTCTTCGTTAGAACATCCGGCGGCTGTGTTTTTCAGTTCCCCCGCGAGAGGAAGTCGAGGAAAAAGCAAAGTAAACGACGAGTACAACGTGTCAAAGAGGAAGCTTGGATATTTTTCTTATCTCTTTGAGGTTGCAATGTGGTTAGAAAGGAAGAAACGCTTTCAAAGTTGGATTTTACGTTACGCGTTTCTGTTTTATTCGTCTTATTCGTTTTATGTTATATCTTTTATTTTATTTTTGTTCCATTTATGTTCATTTCTATGAAGAGTGCGGCGGAATAACGCGTACGTGCAGGCGAACGAAGCGATTCTTTATCAAAAGATATAGAATAACGTTTTTTCCTACGACGTTTCGTTTTCGAGGGAATCGAGTTTGAAAATTTATCAGCAATACTCGAACACGGCTAACTTCGAACGGCAACAAATAATCGACACGACGTTATTCTACGCGTGGAAATAAATCGCAAATGTGGAATAAAATTATTCCGCAAGACGCTCTGTTTCCGAGAAAAATAAATTTCAAAATTTATCATACGCGCGTACTAAACGAATTGTTTAACCGAGCACGTTCAGATTCTATTTCTTTGAAAACGAAGCCTTAAACGAAAATTTTATTCTACATTTTCCTCTTATTTTTTCACAAGGAACCAGTCACGATCCCTTCGTACATGTTATTCGGATATACCCTGTACGTATCTGTTTAATGCGCAAAATTTTAAATTAAACGTTATACCCTTTCGTAAAATATCTCAAATAAAAAGAAGAAATCGTAATATCACTTTTCTAATGGCAAAGTTAGACGGACAACTTGCATTTTATTCTTCTAATCGAACAATCTATAATTGGTTTCCACTAAACGATCATTCACGCTTTAGTTAATCACACTTCGATTATCATACTGTTTTTTAAAATGCTATAAACGAAGGCAAACTGCAGTTTCGTTCTCCAAACACGGACGAATAGATATTTACGAACCTAATATGCAAAACTGCAACGAATCAACAGTCTCTCTTCTTCCATTTACCTCGGGCAAATAGTAGCTTTCAACCTTACTCGATCGTACGTTAACCGTAATTAACATAATCTGAAAATCAACTGAGCATGTTCACCGTGCGTCATTCCAAAAGGCTAAGCATTACAATCAGATATCCTGAGAAATTTCGAAACGGGTAGAAAAGAAAACGAACTGGAACAACTGGCCGAGGTCTTTCTATTATTTCTTCACCCTTCGTTCTTTTCTCTCGTTCCAACGAGTTAAACGATTTGTAATCAAAGCGAACGAAGTTTAATCCACGGAGTATGATTTCGATTAATGACAGCGTGATTAAACGACAAAGATTCGAGAACCGACGATTTTCAAGATAATTATCCCTGTATTCTCGAGATTTCCAAAATCTTTCGCGTTGGATACAGAACACGCGTGTTTTCGACTTTTTGTAGGAAATAAAGAAACGAAATTTAGTAACAGGTAAGTGGAATCTATAGGGAAAAACACGACAAGTTACATTTTCTGCTTTTTTTCTTTTTTTTTTTTTTAGTATTTTCTTATGCCAGGTTTTATTAGCCCCCGG